ATTCAATTCTCACAGTCCTATGGGAGATACAATTATTATTGCCATTTTATAGATGAGACACAGAGAGTTTAAGTAACTAGACCAAAGTTATAAAACTAATGAAGTGACAGACCAGAATTTAAATACAGGCTCTATCACTTGATGTATTAGTCTGCCGTAACAAAATACCAGACTGAGTGACTTAAACCATAGAAATCAATTTTCTCAGAGTTCTCTAGAGGCTAGAAGTCCAAGGTCAAGGTGTCTGCAGGCTTGGCTTCTCCGGAGGCCTCTGCCCATGGCTTGCAGTGCCTACTTGCTGTGTTCACACATGGCTTTTCCCCTCTGTGAGCACATCCCAGGTATCTCTTTTTCTTCTCATAAGGACAACAGTCATATTGGGCCCACCCTAATGGCCTCATTTTAATTTACTCACCCCTTTTAAGGCCTACCTCCAAATATGGTTACATTTGGAGCTACTGGAGGTTGGGACTTCAACATTCGAATTTTGGTAGAATGCAATTCAATCCATAACACGTGAAGGCTATGTAATCTCAAGCAAGTTACTGAACCTTCCTATGTCTCAGTTTCTTCAAATGTAAAATAGTGCTATTGAGAATCAAATGAGATAATTCATGTAAATTTTTAGCAGAGTGTCTGGCACAGAGTATTATCATTATATGGTTGAGAAAAACAAAACTCAGAGTGACAGTGAGTTGCCCTGTTTTCATCTCTTGAGTACTTACACTACAGAACATGACTTTTCTGTACAATCAAATGGATAATCTAGAAGAATTTTATATAACACTAGAGGCCCGGTGCACGAAATTCAAGTACTCGAGGTGGGGAACGGGGGGTCCCTCAGCCCGGCTTGTGCCCTCCTCGCAGTCCTGGAGCCCGCAGGGGATGTCTGACTGACAGCTTAGGCCCACTCCCCGTAGGGCAGTTGGACATCCTTAGCGCTGCTGCGGAGGCGGGAGAGGCTCCCACCACCACTGCTGCACTCACCAGCCATAAGCCTGGCTCAGGGCTTCGGGCTAAGCTATGCTCCCCCTGTGAGAGCACACTGATCACCAGGGGGCAGCTCCTGCATAGCAACCAGTCATTCTGCTGTTTGGTTGATTTGCATATTAGCCTTTTATTATGTAGGATAACTTTTCTACATCTCTTTCTTTCTTCTAGTATTTTCCTTACTTTATTATATACAAAAGAGTACGAGAAGAGGAAGCTCAAATTAATAAAAATTTAGTTAGGGAAATGTACTACTCTCCTGAGATTGTATGTGAACTTTATTAATCCTTTCTCCTAATTTGCAAAGACAATTGGATACAGTCATACAGCGATGATACCTCATAAGATCAATATCTACTTTTAGCTATTAGAAAAGAAAAACAACTCAGTGCTTTTTAAAAAAATTAAGATTGCCCTGGCTGAGTAGTTCAGTTGGTTGGAGCATCATCCTACATACCAAAAGATTGTGGGTTTGATTCCTGGTCAGTGCACATACCTAGGTTGCAGATTCGATCCCTATTGGGGATCAAACTGATTGATGTTTCTCTCTCACATTGATGTTTCTCTCTCTCTATCTCCTTTCCTCTTTCTTTAAAACCAGTATTTTTTTAAAAAAAAAAAAGATTGTACTTTACATTTGCCTAGTACTCTACATATATTACAATCATTTAATCTGCAACACAATCATATGGTGTTTTATTTAGCTCTATAATCATGAAAAGGTATTATTCCCTTTCTATAGTTGAAGGAACAGGAACATAACAAGGTTAATTTTTTTAAGGTCACAAAGCTTGACGATTAACTGGCAAAGTCAGAACTCTCACTGACATCTTCAAGTCTAAGACCAAGGTTCTCCACTGAGGCCACCATCTCTGCCTTGGCAAGCTGCAATAACTGGTTTTCTCAATCTTCACACTTACCACAAACAGAGCCAGTGCTCAGCAAATATGATGGTTTGATTTGGAGCAATCTAGACTAAGCTGCAAGGAATCTTCTACAGCCCTTGTAAAGGCTGAGTTTCCTGACAACTATCACCAACCCCTTGGGCTGACAGCTTTTTAAAAAATATGTATATTTTTTATTGATGTTAGAGAAGCATTTACAAAAACCTCTCCCTAATGGCCTACAACAGAGACACCTATAGCATTTTTCCAACTCCCAAAGTCTATGATTCCATGGCAAGTCTATTCCTGACAGGCAATTAAACCGCTCACCTAGAGCACCAGTTGTATGCAAATATAACTGGATTCGCCAGTTCAGAACCACCACTGTTCTTAGTCTGCAGAATGCTTCTGGAAAAGAGACAATTCTGTGAATATGACAGGGAAGTTACCAATTCAAGAGGGAATGGTAATAGATGATAAGGTCGATCTGGGTCACAGTGGAACTGCTGTTTGTCAAGGCCTCTATGTCGTAAAAGGAGCTATATTAAGAAAAATCATGCTAGCTTTTATTTTCTCAAGAATATACGGCTGTTTGGATTTCTTTATTTTAGCTTCAAGTTTGTTGTGCCATTAGCAGACCGACAGGGGTTGTTTTTTCTTTAAAAAATGTGTTTTTATTGATTTTAGAGAAAGAGGAAGGGAGAGGGATAAAGAGATAGAAACATTGATCAGCTGCCTACTGCACACTCCCTCCTATTGGGGATCGAGCCCACAACCTGGGCAAGTGCACCAACCAGGAAGTGACTTCCTGGTTCATGAGTCAACACTCAACCACTGAGCCTCCCCAGCTGGGCTGACAGGCAAGTTCTGACCCCACCATAGAAACTATCTGAGCACTTCTGAGTTGTCCTGTACACAGTGAAGGGAGGTAGGCAGAGCGGGCCAAAGCAGTGTCTAAACTCAGCTAAGCTCTCCTGTGACTTCAGGGATTTGTGGATGTTCGCTTTGTTCATCTCCATTGCTTCTGTGTACCCTGCTGTGAACTGGCTATCACTTTGCTGGCTACCTGTTTCATAGAGCTGCTGTAGCAGACTTAGAAAACATTTTGACCTCTCAGAGAAAGCACTGCATAAAGAACTGAAAGGGTCAAGTATGGCACTTCCTGTCTGAGGCAGGCAATTTCTCCAAAAAGTAAAGAGTTACTCTAGGTCCGTGGTCGGCAAACTGCGGCTCGCGAACCACATGTGGCTCTTTGGCCCCTTGAGTGTGGCTCTTCCTAAGCCTTAGGAGTACCCTAATTAAGTTAATAACAATGTACCTACATATATAGTGTAAGTTTAAAAAATTTGGCTCTCAAAAGAAATTTCAATTGTTGTACTGTTGATATTTGGCTCTGTTGACTAATGAGTTTGCTGACCACTGCTCTAGGTTATCTTTTTTAAATCAAAGTATCCTACAAATACTCTTTTCTGATGCCTTAATTAAGAGAAAAAAATTTTCAGAAAAAAAGTCATACAAATGGAATAATTCTGCAAGTAGCTAAATTAAAAAATTTTTATTTAATATTTATAAATTTATGCAATATACAAGGTACTGAGCTAGATGCTGTAGGGATACAGAATTATGTAAGAAATGTCTATACATACTCCCTTAGTGCCCCTACACCTTAAAATGAAACTTTCTTTTAGATTTCCTTTCCAAATAAACAAAGATTTTGTTTCCCTAGGACAGTGATGGCGAACCTACGACACACGTGTCAGAGGTGACAAGCAAACTCATTTTTTTGGTTGATTTTTCTTTGTTAAATGGCATTTAAATATATAAAATAAATATCAAAAATATAAGTCTTTGTTTTACTATGGTTGCAAATATCAAAAAATTTCTATATGTGACACGGCACCAGAGTTAAGTTAGGGTTTTTCAAAATGCTGACACGCCGAGCTCAAAAGGTTCGCCATCACTGCCCTAGGACATGGAAGAACAAATTTTTTTCTCTGTTATTATTTTGCGGCTTCACAGAAAAATTCTAGAACACACTGGGGGAGAAAGTCTTTCATCTGTTAGTTTCCACCAACAAGCAGCAGCTTTCTCAAGAGTGATTGAGCTACAGAATGACTGCAACTTCCAAAGTAACCTGATTAAATCTGACAGGCACATGACAGGGGAAGAAAGGAGCCCATGTGATCTTCAATTTAACTAAGAAAAGTTGAAACATATTGTCAGAGAATGCAGGAAGGAGATGAAGATCATGTGGTTTGAGAAGAAGATGAAGAACGAAGAGTATAGGAATATTCCAAATAACAAGTCATTTGGGATTCCTGAATGCCCTGCCATAGTTAATCACACACAGCTACGCAATGAAAGGACAAGTTGAGGCCATCTCACGCCTCACTTCTGCTAGTGATTGAGCTTGAGAAAGAAAATTAAGGCAATCTTTTCAATCAAACACAGGAATTGTAGCCTGGACATGTAAGGATATAAGCTCATGAAGTGGGGTAAAATACTTGTTTAGCAATTAGTCAAGTGTTCATACCCAATTAATTTAAAACAGAAAGCCCCAGATTTCCTTAAATCTTTACTGGCATTGGTTTGCTGGAACTGATTGGTCCAATATATAAATGCTTTGTTGTGTTTACTTTCCCCCTGAGATTTATGACCAAACTGTTCTCAAAAATAGAATAAACTTCTTAATATCCGCTTCTTTCACTTTTAACATTGTATTTTCCCCAAACCGCAGAACTGATGTTCTCCAACGAATGAAATAAAGTGATTGCTGAGAACTAACTGTCATGTTCAAGAATGGGGAAATAAAAAAGGGTTTACACTCGAAGGCAAATAGGGAATACTCACAATAAAGTCAAGACCATTAAGGAAATCTACAACACATCCAAATTTTGTAGTTATAGCTCTGATCTAGCCGAACCATCATCTGAGACAGACAATCACAAACAAGACAGCTGTATCTGGAGTTGGGACAGCAAGAATAGGCAGCCTCTCCACGGAACTGAACATCACCCTCAGCCAGCTCCGTCCTGTGGTATGCTCTCACATGCAGCACATAAGCTAGTCTTAGTGATCCATTTTTTGTTTTTGTTTTCCATAAAAATGAAAAGTAGATCCACTTACATGGCTCTCTGGCAATGAACTGAGGTACAGTGTTGGGCAGAGGAGTACTGGGGTTTGGAGTCCCTACTAGTTTGTTCTTGGCCATCTTCGTGTTTGCCTTAGCAAACTCTAGTCGTAGTGTTTGCGGAATTTCAGGATCGAAGCGGATGCCCTTTGGAAATAAAAGAACAAATGGAAGATGTTTTCATTTCCTTAGAGTCAAACCAGAATGATGACAAAATAAACACACCAGTAAATCCTGGCCTATCTGAAAAAGAAAAAAAGTCATAAAGAGCTCTCATTCCCGCTACTTGCATAGAACGCATGAAAACTCATAACCCAACAAGTCCAGAAAGCCAGGGAGATTTCGTTTACTTCTTTTTTCGTTACCTGGTTTTTCAACTCTTCCTCATGGCTTTTCCTCTTGAACAAAGACTTTCAAATTCAAGTGTTAAACTTAGACCAGCAAATTATGAGCACAGATAAACACTTCAATTAATGGTTACCAATAAGAGTAAAGAGATTAGTGTAAAACCCTGTGCAATACTAGAAAGTCTAACTCCTGAAATATAATAAAAGGCCGAGGCCTGACCCGCGTTCTGACACTGACACTGACTTAAACAGTGCGATTCTTCAATGCCTCAACTCACAGAGGGAAATTCCCATCCCTATCTAACTGGAGAGCTTTCGTAACAGTGACACGTGTGCTCAGAGTTACTAAGACAGGAATTAAACAGTGTTGGGGGCCAGATGTAAGCTGGCAAGGTCTTTGCACCTGCAGGGGCTAGCAAGGCTGGGACCCTTACCCACACAGTTTTCCCAGACTTGTTTGGATGGCGATTATCAGTAGAATGGGAGTAACATTTGTAGAATGAGAACAGCCTTTCATAGCTTACCAAGAAGTCTGTAACTATTTACTGAGATATGCTGTACTGAGAACTTGTCCTTCTGCTATGTCTCTCCCTTAGAGATTAAGAGGAACAAAGAATACATTCCTCTTGACAGACCTCCTATTCAGTGTGTTGTGTATAAATAGGATTGTATAGCTAATAAACTCGCTTCAGTTCATCAAGAGAACTGGGGTCCTCCCGACCCCGCTTTCCTGTCTTTCTTTCTTTTCTCAATTCCCACCTCCCTGCCTCAGCCCGGCTCAACCCTGTCAGGCTGGCCCTGACAGATCTGGCGCCCGAGCTAAGGGACTGAGGAACTGGGAAAAAGACGGTGAGGAACTCCGTTGGGCTTGGAGAGACGACGTGAGGATCTCCTCCGGATAAAGAGTGCACTCGTTAAGGTAAGGGAGGAGCAATTTTTTGATAATCGGGAGTAAAGCATGGGGCAATTAGAATCTAGAGAAAATGCCCTTTATGGGCAAATGTTAAAGTTTATGTTCAATAGTAGAGGAACTAAGGTTAATGACAAGCAAGTAGAAAATTTTTTAAAATTCATTCAGGAGGTCTGCATTTCCTTATCGAATTTAATACGGGATTATTTAGATCCCACGCATGACCATAATCAACCATCTCTTAAGCCAGAACAAAAGGAGAAGCAGTGTGATAGCACAAAACAGGGGTCTAAAAAAGACAGTATATTAAAAAGAAATAATGTAACTTTTAAAGACAATTTAACTCCTCAAGATGAGGAGGATTTTGAGGAAGCTGCTGCTCTCTGTCATGATGATAATACAGGTATTGTTCAGGCAAAAGAGGAGGAAGAATATTTTTCTGCTGGAACTGAAGAGGGTAGTGATATAGAGGATGTGTTGGAATCCTTTTTAGAAACATTAAAGCTTCTTGGCAAGAAAAAGAGAAGCCGCGGGGGCCGTTCCCGCCGCTCTCCGCTGCCTTGTGCGGCACCAGTTCCAAGGAAAAATCAAACACACAAGTGTTTTACTTATGGAGGAACAGGACACATAGCAAAACAGTGTCCTTCTAATAAAGGGATTAATAAAGGCATACCTGGACTATGCCCTAAATGTAAAAAAGGAAAACATTGGGCAAATGAGTGTAAATCTAAGACAGATATTCAGGGAAATTCTCTGCCTCAACACCAGTCGAGAAGCTACCAAAAGGGGCCAGCCCAGCCACAGCAAATAACAGGGGCATTGTCTATTTACCCTCCTGTCCCTATGCCGTCTCAAGGCCAGCAGGCTGCACAGCACCCAGCCCGCTCCAGAGAGCAAAATAGATACAAGAGCTATTCCGAGCAACCCCCGGGAGTGCCGGGCTGGACCTTGGATCCATAGGAATAAGACATTCTGTCTGCCCTGGGTGCTGCCCTTGCCTACTGAAATAAACAAAATATCATTAGATTTAAAACCTCCCACATAGAGAAGAAATGATGATTTCCTTGCATTTCCGATACAGCTACAGCAAATGCCACCGGATCTGAAATTTAAAAATACGTCTGGGATTTCTGTACACGTGTAAAGAGAAAACTGGCTTGGAACTAAGGCGCGCATTGTCCGATTTTGGACATTTAGATAGAGTTTCAAGCTGAAATCTCTTTACAAATATACAAAATAAAACCCAAGACTGATTATTTCCTAATAAAAATAGCAAAATTTAACCCAAAGAAAAAAAAAAGATGCTGGCTAGATTCTAGCCGCAGGATTGGCATTTCCATAATAAAGAACAGTTTTTAAATACTAATAAAGAATATTAAAAGGTTAATTTCAAGGCCAAAAAGGAAAGTCAGTAAAATTGTCTCTGTTAAAAGAATTTACTAAAGAATATGCCTTAAAATAATAAATTGGATTTAAATCTCAAGAATTATTAAAATATACTAATTATAAAAATCTAAGTAGCCCAGGTAAAAGATGGCTACGCCCTTTAATTAAGGCTGGCTTCCCAAAGCAGTTTCTAATAGAGGAAGGGCTAGCCTCCCTTCCCCCAACAGAGCAGGTAGGCCAAAAATTTCCTGCCAGTGACAACTTTTAAAGAGAGGCTTGCTTCCCAATTTCCCATCCTTGGTAGAAAGAATATAATTTACATTTTAATGGTTACCTGTTTTCAGTCAATGGCACCCCAAGGCTTAGGAGTTTACTAAATTAAATTAGATATTCTGAAATAACAAAATGCTAAAATATTAATCTAAATGTCCCTCACAAAAAATCTAGAGGACAGAATTAAATCTATTAATTATGTCTTGTATTTTTAAAGTATGTTTTTTAAAAATGTTACTGATTTAAAAATACTAAATATTGAACTTGCCAGCTAAGAGTTTAAAGTTCCGGTTACATAAATTGGGAGAAATCATATAATTATAATAAAATTTCAACATTTATCTAATTAAAAAAGAGGATAAATTCTATAATCCCAACCAAAATTTTTAAATACTAAGATCAGTTTTAATTTAATTGATATCTCTTAATAATTATAAAAGGTATATAATCTTTAAATTATATATACACATATATATTTAATAGTCTTTCAAGTTAGATTTCAAAACTATAATCAAGGAATGACTTTAGGACATTTCATGGGCCCTGGAATGTTATCAAAAGTTTATTCTCTTTTCTTAAAAGATTTTTTAATAAAGCCAATTTAATATACTTGAAATCACATAGAAAGCTTTATCAAATAAATATTAATAAATATATATTTTAAGTTTTTGCTTCTAAGAAAGGGCAAAACAAATTATCTTATTTTATATTTCTTAAAATAAAGCAGTAGAATTTTAAGATATAATTTAATATAACAAAAGCTCATTAATAATTTTTAATATTTTACAACAGCATATTAACATTTATTCCAAACAAGCTTAAAAACTAATTGTTTGGCAGCAATTTAATAAGAACATAAAAGGATTTTATCCCTTCCACTGTGTGGAAGGCCCCCTGGGAAGGCACTTAAGCATTCTATATTGACCTCTCTTGACCCTTTTTACCAAAGGGGTCTGTCTTCCAATTGCCCACAGCTGTTACCTAAGCTCTCTGTTCATACTGAGGTTGAAGCCTCATGGTGGCTGGTACCATGGATCTGTCTCTTGCCCAATGGCGTAAGCTGGGCCCTCTCTGGAGAAGAAATCTGGGTTCCCCATGATCAATGCCAGGGCCCCGCCAGCAGGCGAGGGGATCACAAGGCAGTTAATGGGCATGGAGGCCACAGGGGCATACGCTACCAAGGAGACAAAACTAAACCTCACATCACCCTGCTTGGCCCTGGAGGATGGCTGGTTAGTCAATGACGGGTAAGACCCCTCAGGGAGGGGCAACCTAAGACAGGCACAGTCGCAGAGGGCCTCAGGGGAGAACTTGGGGGTCAACAGAGGTGGGGCACAGATCCTCACCCCCCCCCAGCTATGCAGGGGCTTGAACACTTGCCCCTTCTGAGGGAGGTCTCCTGTCCCCATGGCTGCTTCTCGATTCCCATGCCCAGCTCAGATCGGGACCCAGATAACAGAAAGAGACTTAGCCCAGCCGAGATTGATACCCAGATAACAGAGACTTAGCTAACAGCAGCTACCCTATATATAAATCTAGCTTAACACCAGGAATGCTCAGGGCCTTCTCAAGGATGCAAAATAATCCTTTCCATTAATATTTACAGTATAAACTAAGATTGTTATTAAAGTATTAAATTTAACAGTAAAATAGTAGTCAAGTTTTCAGATTAATTAAATTTTACTAATTAATATAAGTAATTATTCATAAAGTATTAGCCAAAATTTTCATTTCATGGACAAATTGCTTAACATACTATAAACCTAAAGCAGTCATATTTTTATACAAAAATTAAAATTAAAAGTTATCAAGACTACACTAAAAAATTTCTAAAAACCTCCTAATATTAAAAAATAAAAAAGGGGGGATAGTGGAATAATAACCTTTTAAGTAAATGCCTTAATTGCTTTAATATTTTTACTTGAAAATTAATTTTTTCATTTATAATGCTAATAGCAAGACACCCATGAAAATATACATGGTGTCAAAATAAGCCAAAGGAAAATCGTTTGGACAAAAATTAAAAGAATCCCAAGTCTAAATTATAGATATGATTCCTTTATTAACCTTTGGTCGAGAATACATTTGTATATTTTCAGAAAACAACTCCAAGACCATGTGGATTCCTGCAACAGAGAGGAATTATCAGGACTGCTCCAGCCACAGAATAGCAGTGGCCTCATGAGACAACGAGAAGAGAAGCAGTCCAGAAATAAAGATGGTGAAGACGC